AGGGCTCGTGCAGGAGGCAAGCCAATTGATGCATCGATGTTTCTGTCTTTCCCCCTGTCTTCCACTCTCTCTAAAAATTAATGGCAAAATATCCTCGGGTGAGGATTTAAAAAAAAAATTATATATATATTTTATTGATTTCAGAGAAGAAGGGAGAGAGAGCTAGAAACATCAATGATGAGAGAGAATCACTGATGGGCTGCCTCCTGCACGCCCCACACTGGGGATCGAGCCCACAACCCAGGCATTGAACCCTGACCTCCTGGTTCATAGGTCATCGTTCACCCACGGACCCATGGCGCTGGGCCAGGTGGCGAATGGTATCTAAGGACAGTGAGGGGGACACGTGTTAGTCCCTAAGCAGAGCCCTCCGGGCACCTACAGGGGCTGGCACACTTACCAGATGGGAAGCAGGGCCAAGAAGGAGGCCGTGAGGCGACCCGGGCCAGATGAGGTGGGGCCAGGCAAATGGCAGGGCGGCCCCTGCCTTGTCCTCCCCTCCTCTTCCAGGATATGGAGACACTGCTTGACCACGGGGCGGATCCCAGCCTCAGGGACAGGCACGGACGCTCTGCACTCCACCGGGCTGCCGCTGGCGGACACCTGCCTGCCGTCCAGCTGCTGGCAGCCCGGGGAGCGGAGGTGGATGCTCAAGATGCACTGGGCCTCACACCCCTGCACCACGCAGCTCGGAGCGGCCATGTGGAAGTCGCCAGCCATCTCCTGGACAGGGGCGCACAGGTCAACGCTGCTGGCTGGCTCCACGCAACACCCCTGCACCTCGCTGTGGAGCGTGGCCACGGCCCCACCGCCAAGCTTTTGCTGAGCCGAGGGGCTAGCCCTGCCCTGAGAACGCAGTGGGGTGAGGTGACCCAGGACCAAGTGGCAGAAGAGGGCATGGCCCAGGCACAACCTCCCCTTTGCAGAGAGCAGAATGACTGCTAGGTCCGGCTGGTGTGGCTCAGTGGTTCAGCATCGACCAAGAACCAGGAGGACACGGTTCGATTCCTGGTCAGGGCACATGCCCGGGGTTGGGGGCTTGATCCCCAGTGTGGGGTGTGCAGGAGACAGCCGATCAGTGATTTTCTCTCATCACTGATATTTCTATCCTTCTCCCTCTCCTCTCCTCTCTGAAATCAATAAAAGTAGATTAAAAAACCAAGAATGACTGCCAGGGGCACACAGCTCGGGGGGCCTGAGCCATACAGCACAGGATGGGAGGCTCCTGGCTCCCACAGCCTTGGGAGTGTGCCAGGATTCCCTCTTCTGAGCTGAGGCCTGCCTGGGTGGAGGGGAGGACAGAGAGGAGTTCCTGGAACAGAAGCGGACAGTGGCTCGAGCCCAGCAATGGGCCTCTGGCCTGATCTGGGACTGCCCCACTGACTCCCAGGGGCGCACCGCCTCCGCAGTCCCAGCCTTCTTCACGTTCTCTGGTAGACACTGACTCATGGCCGTAGATGTGACCACAGCCTGATGGCCTGCCCTTTGTCTGTCCACGGTGGGGGTGTCACCCTCAGCTCTCTCTGTCTCTGGGGGTGCTCTTACTGTGCTATCTTTGATTTGGCATTTGTGGATTTGCATCCATTCATGTCAGGGCTGAACCCCTGGCCACAGTCGTTTACAGCTCCCCTGCGATCCAGAGCCCACACACCCACTAATATTCCCCACCCCAGGTCACCTGGGCCAGGCACCAGACAGCTAGAGGTGGCTCCTATGCAGCAAGGCCCCCAGGGATGATCCAACAAGCCAGTCCCAAGAGGTTTCCCTCCCCTGTGTTGCCTTTCCTGCTGGAGCCCCAGTAAAGGCTCTAGCCTGAAGCCCCCTTCCCCACTCCTGCCTCCTCACTGATACTGGTCTCCCTGTGGCGCAACGGCCCCTGGCATGTCCCCTCCACTCAGGACATCCTATCTAATAAAAGAGTAATGTGCAAATTGACCATCACTCCAACACAAAATGGCTGCCCCCATGTGGTCAAAGATGACCGCCACAAGATGGCCAGCAGGGGAGGGCAGTTAGGGGTGACCGGGCCGGCAGAGGAGGGCAGTTGGGGGGCACCAGGCCTGTAGGGGAGGACAGTTGGGGGGGACCTGGGACTAGAGGGGAGGGCAGTTGGGGGGGACCAGGCCTTCAAGGGAGGGCAGTTGGGGGGGGACCAGGCCTGCAAGGGAGGGCAGTTGGGGGCAATCGGGCCAGCAGGGGAGCAGTTAGGCGTCGATCAGGCTGGCAGGGGAGTAGTTAGGGGGTAATCAGGCTGGCAGGCAGAAGCGGTTAGGGGCAATCAAGCAGGCAGGCAGGGGAGTGGTTGGGAGCCAGCAGTCCTGGATTATAAGAGGGAAGTCCGACTGCCTGTTTGGTGGGATCGGGCCTAAACGGGCAGTTGGACATCCCTCAAGGGGTCCCAAATTGGAGAGGGTGCAAACTGGACTGAGGGACACAACCCCCCTACCCCCGTGCATGAATTTCATGCACTGGGCCTCTAGTGTAAGTAATAAAAATCTCTCCCTGTTGCCACTCAGCCATCTCCATAAATGAAACCCCACCCCCCACCCCAAACAGTTGAAACAGACAGCTGTCTCCGACTGTCGACCCCTGTACCCTAATAAAAGTCATTGCCTTTATTCAAAGCAGTTGAGCTTCAATCCAGGAACCAAGAGGTCGCCAGTTCAATTCCCAATTAGGGCACATGCCCAGATTTCAGACTCAGCTAATCAATGATTTTCATCATTGATGTTTCTCTCTCTCTCTCTCCCCGTCTCCCTTCCTCTCTGAAATCGATAAAAAAATATTTTTTAAAAAGGAAAGAAATGGAACAAAATGTAAGCAGTTGGTGCATTTGGGGAGAATGTATTATAGAATTCTTTCAGATAGTGTTGCAACTTTCCTTGAATTTAAAATTACATCCAAAAAAAACATTATAAAGAAACTAGAGACCCAGTGCACAAAAATTTGTGCACTTGGGGGCGGTCCTTCAGCCTGGCCTGTGCCCTCTCGCAGTCTGGGACCCCTCGGGGGATGACCACCTGCTGGCTTAGGTCCGCTCCCCAGGAGATCGGGCCTAAGCTGGCAGTCAGACATCCCTCTGGCAGCCCGGGAGCCCTTGCGGGATGTCTACTTGCCAGTGGGGAGCAGGCCTAAGCTGCAGTCGGACATCCTTAGCGCTGCTGAGGAGGCAGGAGAGGCTCCCACCACCACCGCTGTACTGGCAGCCGTCAGCCTGGCTTGTGGCTGAGCAGAGCTCCTCCTGTGGGAGTGCACTGACCACCAGGGGGCAGCTCCTGCATCGAGTGTCTGCCTCCTGGTGGTCAATGTGTGTCATAGTGACCAGTTATTTCCAGTCGTTCTGCTGTTAGGGTCAATTTGCATATTATCCTTTTATTATGTAGGATTATTAGAGGCCTGGTGCATGGGTGGGGGCCAGCTGTTTTGCCCTGAAGGGTGTCCCAGATCAGGGTGGGGGTCCCACTAGGGTACCTGGCCAGCCTGGGTGAAGGGCTGATGGCTGTTTGCACGCTGGCCACAGCCACTTCAGGGTAGGGGTCCCCACTGGGGCGCCTGGCCAGCCTGGGTGAGGGGCTGATGGCTGTTTGCAGGCTGGCCAAGCCCCCCAGAGGGGACCCTCACCCCATGAGGTTGTGGCCAGCCTGGGTGAGGGGCTGATGGCTGTTTGCAGGCTGGCCAAGCCCCCCAGAGGGGACCCTCACCCCATGAGGTTGTGGCCAGCCTGGGTGAGTGGCTGATGGCTGTTTGCAGGCTGGCCAAGCCCCCCAGAGGGGACCCTCACCCCATGAGGTTGTGGCCAGCCTGGGTGAGTGGCTGATGGCTGTTTGCAGGCTGGCCAAGCCCCCCAGAGGGGACCCTCACCCCATGAGGTTGTGGCCAGCCTGGGTGAGGGGCTGATGGCTGTTTGCAGGCTGGCCTCAACCCCCAGCTATCCAAGCTCCCAGTGGAGGCTGGCTGGAAGCAGGTATCTGGGATTTATTTGTCTTCTATAATTGAAACTTTGTTGCCTTGAGCTGAGTCCACAGCAGGCCAGGGCAAGCGGGAAGCTTGGCTTCCTCCATCACCGGGGCAACCAAGCCTCCTGCTTACTCCAGCTCCATGGCTACCTGCTGCCATCTTGGTTGGGTTAATTTACATATGGTCGCTCTGATTGGCTGGTGGGCATGGCTTGGGGCATATTGGAGGTGCAGTCAATTTGCATGTTTCTCTTTTATTAAATTAAATTGCACTTACTCTTTTGCCCCCTATTTTTTGTGGTAAAATACTCAGAATGCAAAGTTTACCAGTTTAAGCATTTCAAAGGGTCCAATGTTATGGCGTTTAGGACTTTCACAGTTTATGCAACCGCCCCCACTACCCAGAACGTGTCATCACTCCACAGGTAACCCTGTCCCTGGCTGCCACTCCCCGCGCCCCTCATGCCCTGTCCCCATGGGTGGATGTCCCTGGACCCACCCGTTCTGGGTATTCATGGGATGAAACCAAACAACACGTGGCCTTGGTGCCCTGCAGATTCCCGCCCATGGCCGGGGCTCCTGGGCCTGCACCGGCCCTTCAACCTCCGCAGGGCACACGGCAGCCCCGCTTGTGGCGGATGGTCTAATATAGTGGTTCTCAACCTTCTGGCCCTTTAAATACAGTTCCTCATGTTGTGACCCAACCATAACATTATTTTCGTTGCTACTTCGTAACTGTAATGTTGCTCCTGTTATGAATCGTCATGTAAATATCTGATATGCAGGATGGTCTGAGGCAACCCCTGAGAAAGGGTCATTCCACCGCCAAAGGGGTCGCGACCCACAGGTTGAGAACCGCTGGTAGACTCTTGCTTCTCCACCGCCCCCACCGCGGGAGTCCACGCCCACACCCAGTCGCGGGGGAGGAAGGGGAGGGAGACCCCAGGAGGCTGCGCGCGCACCGGGGGCCCGCCGCACCGAGCATGCGCACGAAGGCGGGGCGGCGGTAGGGCCGGGGAGCATGCGCGGTGCCCCGGAAGTGCCCGGCGGGCCGCTGACCCGGAAGCACTCGGCAGCGCGGCGCGGGCGTCTTTCAGCGGGGACGCCTGCTGGGCACCATGGTCTTCCTCACCACGCAGCTCTGGCTGCGGAGCCGCGTCACCGACCGCTACTGGCGGGTGCAGGAGGTGCTGAAGCACGCGCGGGTGAGTTGGCCGCGCCCGCCCCGCGCCCCAGCGCGCCCGGGAGCCCGCGGACCCCGCCGGTAACCCTCCTCTCCCGTTTTTTTGACCCAGCACTTCCGGGGGAGGAAGAACCGCTGCTACCGGCTGGCCGTCCGGGCTGTGATCAGAGCGTTTGTGAAATGCACGAAAGCCCGGAGACGGAAGAGGGGCATCCTGAGGACGGTGAGCCGGGGGCCCGGGGCCCGGCGTCCATCGCGGCTCGGGCGCCGTGTCACCGCGGGCAGAGGGGCCTGGCCCCCGCCCTCCGCTCTCGCGGGACCGACGGCGGCTTCGGCCAGACCCCGTCCCCCTGCCGCCGAGGCCGAAACCTCAGCACCGTTCTCCAGGCCTTTGTTTCTCTCTTCTCACGCCTCTCACCCCAAACCCCGCGGGACCCGGTGGCCAGGGTCCCCGCTCCGCCCAACCCGCCCCCTGTGTCCGCTCCTCAGCTCCCCTCCACCTGCCGCCCCGCGGGGCTTCCCGTCCCACCCCACTCGTTAGGAAGGCGAACCCAGCCGACTGGGTCCCTGTGGCCCGGTCCCCGCTCCCTCCGCCCCGGCCGCTCCCTCCCGGACAGCAGCAGCGTCCGGTGGGAACTTGGTGGAAGCGTAGAGCCTCAGGCCCCGCGTGCACCTGCAGCAGCAGCACTGGAGGTGGCCCGGCCCTGCGTCTGACAAGCCCGGGCCAATTCTGATGCACAGACTTGAGCACCACTGAGCTGGGAAGGAAGGACCCGAGCCTTCACACCGAGTAAAGCAGGGGTCCTCAAACTTTTTAAACAGGGGCCAGTTCACTGTCCCTCAGACCGTTGGAGGGCCGGACTATAGTTTAAAAAAAAATCTATGAACAAATTCCTATGCACACTGCACATATCTTATTTTGAAGTAAAAAAAACAAAACGGGAACAAATACAATCTTTGTATTTGCATGTGGTCCGCGGGCCTTAGTTTGAGGACCCCTGGAGTAAAGGGTGGCCTGAGAGAGCCTCTGCTTCCGTTTGACGGAACAGATCCATTCAGGAGCGTTTCCGCCACTGGCTCCCCCGTGGAGGTGTGGGCGCAACGCACAATTAGTTATTTATTTATTTTTTAAAATATATTTTATTGATTTTTTACAGAGAGGAAGGGAGAGAGATAGAGAGTTAGAAACATCGATGAGAGAGAAACATCAATCAGCTGCCTCCTGCACACTCCCTACTGGGGATGCGCCCACAACCAAGGCATATGCCCTTGACCGGAATCGAACCTGGGACCCTTCAGTCTGCAGGCCGACGCTCTATCCACTGAGCCAAACCGGTTACGGCTAATTAGTTATTTTTTGTTGTTGATCCTCACCCTCGGATGTTTTTCCGTTGATTTTTAAAGAGGGGGGCAGGGAGACAGAAACATCTGCGACCTAGGTACTTGCCCTTCACTGGAATCAAATCCGGGACCCTTCAGTCTGCAGGCCAACGCTCTATCCACTGAGCCACACCAACTAGGGCTACAATTGGTTCTTAAGCATCTCAATGTTTTCTTATTTCAGCTCTGGATTAATCGAATCACAGCTGCCTCCCAGGAGCACGGCCTGCATTACCCAGCGTTCGTTGGCAATTTAATTAAGGTATGGTTGAGGACGTGGTCCTGTTGCGATGTGGAATGTCTGCGGAAACCGGTCCAGCTGGCGTGACCCCACAGCCTGGCAGCGCAGTATTAGCACCTGAACGCTGGTTCGTTATCTGGGTGGAGTCCTGTCAGTTCAGGGACTCCCCATGTTAGCTTTGCCCTTGTCCTGCTGGTGGTAGAATTGGAAATAGGCAAGACACAAATACCCATTTCTCCATCCAGGAAAAAGGGCAGAAACACTTGGCTTTAACTTTAAAGTTTAATTTCACAGTGTTTTGCTCTGATGAGGCAGCAGAGAGAGTTGAAACTCATCCTGTATAATAAAAGCTTAATATGCTAAGTGTCCAGTCCTCCAGTCAACCAAAGTGTAACATGCTAATGATATGCTAAGGCTGCTCAACTGCTCGCTATGACGAGCACTGACCTCCAGGGGGCAGACGCTCCAACCGGTGGGTTAGCTTGCTGCTGGGGTCCAGCTGATTGGGACTGGGCGAGGCGGGCTGGACACGCCCTGAGGCCGTCCTCCCGTGTCCCTCCCTGGCCCCCATCGTGTACCGGGCGGGCCCCTCGGCCTGGCCTGTGTCATCTCATAATTTGGGAACCCCCTGGGGGTGGGGATGTCGGAGAGCCGGTTTCAGCCTGATCCCGCAGGCCACTAGTACTGTCTGGAGGGAAAATGTCTTGAAGAGGGTAAAGTGTCACAAAACCTTGGTAATTGTTCTGTTTGGTTTTTATGCTATTTTCTGAGGGGTTGGGTGTTGTGCTTCTATCTTGTACCAGTTTCTGTTTTTGGTACTTTTTTTAAAGCTTTTTATTACTTTACTTTGGTTAATCCTCACCTGAGGGTATTTTTTCCATTAAAAAAAAAATATTATTGATTTCAGAGAGGAAGGAAGAGGGAGAGATAGATAGAAACATCAATGATGAGAATCATTGATTGGCAGCCTTCTGCACATTCCCTACTGAGGATTGAGCCCACCACCCAGGCACATGCCCTGACCAGGAATCAAACTGGCAACCTTTTGGTGCATAGAACCACACTCGCCCCCGCCCCCCATCCCCCGCTTATTGATTTATGAGAGAGAGAGAGAGGAAGGGAGAGGGAGAGAGAGGCCTAAATGTGAAAGTGGAACATTGATGGGCAGCCTTCTGCCTGCCCCCTACTGGGGATCGAGCCCACCACTTAGGCTGTGAAGGGACTAGGAGTCAGACTGGCAACCTTTCGGTGCACGGCACAGGACAATGCCCAGCCAACTAAGCCACACCAGCCGGGGCTCAGTTTTCTGAAGTCGCCTGCAGGTTGACTTGACCGGCGACTTGGTTTGGCTGTCCGGTGGGAATTGGGAATGCCAGGGTGGGTCCCTGCTTCCTCTCTTTGTGTCATTTCATCGTTTGTAAATGGGAGTTGTCATTTCCTCTTCTGAACTGACGTCAAGGCTTACCCCAGGCCCACAGTCGTCGCCTGTCTGGGTGACGATCACTGACCCTAAACAGGATCCTTGGTTTTCTGGCATCAGGACTGGATGCCAGCCTCCTCTCCATCACCTCCTGCAGGGAAGCCCTCCCTTCCTTGTCCACATTCGTCCTCCAGCGTCCTGCTGGGAGGGATTTCCCTCTCCCCTCCCTCTCCCCCTCCTCCTCTCTCGCCTCCCCAAACACGGTGTCCTTTGAAGGCAGACACGCTCCTAGGAGCGGATCCAGCTCACGCGCTGGGACTAGGAGCTCAGCACACGCTCTTCTGCTGCAGAGAAACGCGTTTCTGACGCTGAAACTGGCTCTGCTTCTCTCCACAGTGCCAGGTGGAGCTCAACCGGAAAGTGCTGGCCGATCTGGCCATCTATGAACCAAAGACTTTTAAATCCTTGGCTGCTTTGGCCAGAAGGAGGCGAGAGGAAGGATTTGCCGCCGCCTTGGGGGACGGGAAGGAGCCTGAAGGCATATTTTCCAGAGTGGTGCAGTACCACTGAGGGGCCTTCTGCAGCAGCCTCTGCAGCGGCGTCGTAGGAAAAGGCGTTCCCCATGACCATCGTGAAAACGGGCGAGAATCCTTGGCCAGGAACGTGTTAGGTTTGACTTGCAGTTGTGTTACTTGACATTTCAGTCAAGGAAAGGCCTGTCTGTCCTCCTTGGGACAGACCAGCGGCCGCTTGTAGATTGTGTCAATAAAGCTTGTGTGCTGGTCAGCGTTTTCACTGTGTCCTCTGGCATCAAGCAGACACCTCTGTGCTCTCCCTCCATGTGGTGGGAGAGGCTGCCAGGGTGAGGGGTCAGTTAAGCATCTGCCTTCCTCTGGGAACCTTGGATCCTCTCCTGAAAGTGAGGTGTTTGCACCAGGACTCTGAAGTCTGACCCTGGTGCCCATCCAGCACACAGGCCCCCAGCCCGCTGACTACCTATGCTTGCCTTCGCCCTCTATCCTTCCTTCCTGCCTTCCCAGCATGGACCCTGTGCCAGCCTGTTTCCCTGCTGTCTCCCTTGTTCCCCAGGCCAGGAGGGGCAGCAGGCAAGGGGGCTCTTCTGGTCCCACTCACTTTAGCCCTTAAGGATGGGTGATCACCTGGGAAGACCTCTCCCCCAAATACGCCACTTGAGTCCAGAGGCAAGCCCAGGAATAAGTTCTCAGCATGCTCACCCCACTGATACTTCACAGCAGCTGTGCCAGCCCTGGCCCCTCCCCCATCATCCCGCACACCATCCCATGGGAGATGCAGGCTGTGCCCCACCTGCTCAGGGCCAGGCCTTCGCCTTCTGGGAGCTGGTTCCAGGCTCAGCCTCAGCCTCTGTGCCGAGACCACTCCCCTTGTGGGGCATGTTCTTCCTCAGTCCCACTCTGGTCGCCACCTCTGGCCCGTGTGCATTGGCCCCAATGGCTCTCATCAGAGCCATCGCCTGGAACCCTATCCAATGATACTGTCAGCCCTGGACCCCACAGGACCATGCACTCCCCTTCCCTCACTCCCCTCCAGGGCTCTGCCGGCCCGAAGCAGCATCCACTGCTTGCTGGTGACTCCTGCATTTTTCCCCACTTTTTTTTTAAAATCCTTACCCAAGAAGTGAGATATATTTTCCATTGATTGGTTGGTTCCTCGCTCCGACAGAGGCAGGGATTGAACCTGCAACTGAGAATCAAACCCTTGACCCTTTGGTCCATGGGCTGATGCTCTAACCACTGAGCAAAAATGGCAGGACTGTCTTCACTTTTTTTTTTTTAATATATTTTAATTGATTGTTTACAGAGAGGAAGGGAGAGGGATAGAGAGTTAGAAACATCGATGGGAAACATCGATCAGCTGCCTCCTGCACACCCCCTACTGGGGATGTGCCTGCAACCAAGGTACATGCCCTTGACCGGAATCGAACCTGGGACCCTTGAGTCCGCAGGCTGACGCTCTAACCACTGAGCCAAACCGGCTAGGGCCTTTTTTTTTTTAATATATTTACCTTTTTTAAATCTATACTAATAAAAGCACAATATGCTAATTAGGGCAGATGTCTTCTGGGCGTCCATCTGGAAGTCCAGCCAGACAAAGCCACAGCGGCTGTGAGGCCCAGGGCTCAGACAGCCCTGAGCCCCATCAGCTACGAGGGCGGGGCTCAGGTCTTGCAGCTGCTGCAGCCAGTAGTGGCGGCAGCAGCAGTGGGGGGATGGGATTTGGTGTGGTGTGAGCACAAAGCACTGCTGTGGAGGAGCTGCCTTTATCCCATGGGGAGCAGGCCTAAGCCGTCAGTAGGACATCCCCCGACGGCTCCCGGGCTGTGAGAGGGGGCAAGCCGTTCTGAGAGACACCCTCCCCCCATGCATGAATTTTTGTGCACCAGGCCTCTAGTATAAATATAATTTTAAAAATATATATTATTGATTTCTTACAAAGGGAGAGGGACAGAGGGTTAGAAACATCGATGAGAGAGAAACCTCAATCAGCTGCCTCCTGCACACCCCCTACTGGGGATGTGCCCGCAACCAAGGTACATGCCCTTGACCGGAATCAAACCTGGGACCCTTCAGTCCGCAGAGCTTCCACTGCTGGTAGGATGAAGTCCGAGGCCTTTACCACAGCCCCTGCCCACGATGCATTTCCTTGGGGTGCCATGGGCTTTGGAGAAACATGGAGTTCGGTGTTTCCAGCTACACCCTCTTCCCCGTGAAGTCAATTCTGTTCTGTTCTGTCTTTGGCTCCATTCTGAGGGCAAGAACTCTGGTGACCTATTATATGCACCCCAAACCCTGGGCTCACCAAGAACTGGAGAGTAGTGACAACGCCAGCCGCCACGTGTTAACTCAGGCAAACAGAACACAAGAGCCCTCTAAGAACAAAACCCAGAAAGCTTCACAACACAAAGGCGGGAAGTCGGGTCCGGGAGAACCTTCCCTTTAGCTCCGAGCCGAGGAGGAAAACGGAGCTTCGCTGGCCCTGTGGGCGCCGCACCTGCCCGCTCACCCGACCTGGAGCTACGGGGACAAGGGTTTTCTCTGGGTCCCGGATGAGCCCCAAATATACCGGACGTAAGGAGGGGAGTGGGAGGTTGCAACCCGAAATGTGTCGTCAAGGCCGGCCAAGTGGAGGTTTCCGTCCGGAGGAAAATGGGCGAAGTACCGTCGAGAGCGGAAGGGGAAGTTACGGGCAGGGGCCCGTCACCACCGTGGGGCTGGGTCCTCCCGGCGACAGGGGTGCGAGAGCCCCACCCGCGCCGACGGCACCCGTTGTGTCTTCCCCTCCCCTTTCTGACCTAAATGTTGACACCCTCAAACACCCCCCAGGGGCCCGCCAGGGGGTCCCGCCAGGCTCGGGATCGCAGCCCACAGCGGAAGAGCAGCCGCGGACCCCGGTGCGTGCCCTGGTGGAGGTGTCGTCCCGCCGAGCCACACCGCCCGCAGCCAGGGCCCTCATCCAATGCCTTCCGGTGCCCGCAAACCCCTTCGGGAACAACCGGGCCCCCAAGAAGTCTTCGGGCTGCAACGCGGGCTCCCGACCTCCCGAGTTGGTGAGGAAGAGGCAGTTCCGCCGGGAAGGCCCATGGCGAAACCTGCAGCGAGTGCTTCCGGGTTAAGGCCCAGACCGCAGCCTCTTCCGGGCACCGCGGGGCCCCCTGGGTAAGGAGCAGGCCCCCACCCCCCGCCCTCGCCGGGTTCCGGCTTCGGGCACGACGCTGACAGGCAGGTCTCCTAGCCAATAGTGGCAAAGGGTCGCCGGGCCGCCCGAAGGCCCAGCCAATGACACGCGGCAGGGCTGGGCGGTCGCGGACGTAAACGTCGCGAGGAGCCGCCCTGCCGGGCAGAGGCCCGAAGAAGAGTCGGCGGCACAAAATGGCGGCGGCGGCGGCGGCGACAGCGGCTGCGACGGCCGTGGCCGGGGCCCAGGGACCAGCGGCCCCTGCAGCAGCGGCGGCCGGGACCCCGGGCTCGGCGGGCCCAGGCCCCGGGTCGCAGGGCGTGCTGATCGGGGACCGGCTGTACTCCGGGGTGCTCATCACCTTGGAGAATTGTCTCCTGCCCGACGACAAGCTCCGCTTCACGCCATCCATGTCGAGTGGGCTCGACACCGGCACGGAGACCGATCTCCGCGTCGTGGGCTGCGAGCTCATCCAGGCGGCCGGCATCCTGCTCCGCCTGCCGCAGGTGAGGCGCCGCCGCGAGCCTGGCCCGAGGTAACCGCCGCGCCGGCGCGGGGAGGCGGCCGGGCCTTTGTTGGCGGAGGGGCCGGGCCCGTGCCGACCCCCGACCCTGGTCCTGTCGCCGCTCCGGGCCGGTCCCAGCGCCACCGCCACCGGCTCGCCGCAGGCGCTGAGGGAGGCGAGGCAGCCGACGCGCAGGCCCGTGGACGTGTTGAACGTGTGTTTTTCTGCTCCGCCCGGGCCCTGCGGATCTCGGATCGTGCGCGTTTCAAGCGACGGCACCCGTTGTGTCTTCCAGGTGGCCATGGCGACGGGGCAGGTGCTGTTCCAGCGCTTCTTCTACACCAAGTCCTTTGTGAAGCATTCCATGGAGGTAGGGGTTCCGCCCGGTTCCCCTGAACCGTGGGGGGGGGGGGGGGCAGCGCCGCCCTGGGGGGTCGGGAAGCCCCTCGCCCCGACCCCGGGGCCTCTTCCTGGGGCGCCCGCTCGGGGCTCTCCTCGCCCTGGAGCCGCTGGAGGCCGGGCTCTGGCGCAAACACCTGCTGTTGCCGTTCAGCACGTGTCGATGGCCTGCGTGCACCTGGCCTCCAAGATCGAGGAGGCTCCGCGGCGGATCCGGGATGTCATGAACGTCTTCCACCGCCTCCGGCAGCTGCGGGAGAAGAAGTGAGTCGCACCTGCCCTGCCCGCCGCCGCCTCGCGGTTGTAAGGGACACGTTCCTGAAGCAGAACCCAGGGCGGGGGTGTTTGCTTTTGCTGTTGGTCCCCACCCGAGGATGGCTCCCCTTGGTCTTTAGAGAGGGAAGAGCGCGAGCGAGTGAGAGACACATTCATGGTTGCCTCCTGCACGCCCTGGGCCAGGGATGCACCTGAGGTCCGCGCCCTTGACGGGGATCGAACCCGGGACCCTTGGTCTGCAGGCCGATGCTCTGTCCACTCAGCCAAGCTGGCTAGGGCCAGGGTGTGAGGTTTTTAGCCGCGTGGCCAGAAGGGGTCCCGTGCCCCGGGGTCCCCTACAGCTGCCGAATGTGTTTAGGGAGCATGTTCAGAGGGCACTGGCCTCCAGGTTGCTGGGTGGGGTTCCCGGTTTCCTGAAGCTGATGGAAGTCCTTAGGGAACCAGCCCGGCTTCTAAAGGTTGTGCTTCAGCCTGTGGCTCAGTGGTTGAGCCTGGGCCTGTGGATCTGGAGGTCACGGCTCCATCCCCATCTGGGCACTTGCCTGGGTTGTGGGCGCCACCCAGTAGGGAGCGTGCAGGCGGCAGCCAGTCCTCATCACTGATGCGTCTATCGCTCTGTCTCCCGTCCTCTCTCTGCAATCGATAAAATGTATTTAAACAGCAGCAGTAATCAAGGTGGTGCGTCCTTTGGCTCGTTCACCCTCATCACAGGCCCCTGTCCCTGCAGCCGGAGAGCATGGCCCCGGTGCGGGAGGCCTGAGCCGCTGGCCGCGCGGTGGGGACGGGAGGCTGCTGAGGGGGTTGGCGCTGGCGCTGTAGGAAGACCTTGTGGTCGAAGGACGGGAACTTGCCGCGTCTGTTCTGGGTGTTTATAGTACATTCCCGGGGGCGGGGGGG